TGGAAGAAAGAAGATGAATAATTAATGAGCACAAATTCGAATCGATTTGTGCTGCTATCTTCGGCAGTTCTTGAATGGAGTCTTAAAAGTAACGAACGGTCTTTGTGCTTACTAATCAAAAAGTTAATTACTGATTACAATACGTCATTAACGGTCGTCAGCCGAATGTCACTTCGTCTACAGTTCCATTATAAAAATGTTAAAAAAATATGCTGAGTAGGCCTTTATTTTGCTTGGTGTTCGTTTGTAGTTTGAAGTCTGACTGCCACGTTAAAAAAATCGTCTCTCGCGCTTGTCTGATTAATTTCTTCAATTGTTTCAAATCGACATTGTTGCTTCCACTCAAATTGAGTTGCTGTTGGAAACCATTATTCCGCCTGTGTTACTCAGTCGTAAACAGCTGGAAAAACCGCGCCGCGCATAGGCCCTAATTGCTCAGCAGACTCAAAAATTACAATTTTTTAAGTATAGATTTTCAAAAAATATTTGCCGAAGACAGCGCATGATTTTCATGCCAGATTAATCACCGATGCCTCCCGTCAAAACACAACGAGCATTTTGTTATTTTAACTATCAAAACCGTTCAATAACCTTTCAGTTTTTCAACTGTTCAGCGAGCTGTAAAAACACTGAATTCAAAAAAATTACAAAATCTGTGTTGATTCTAAATCTACTACTTCATTGTCCGCTTTAAATCCCTAAAATTATTTACAAAGATTTTAATTCAACAACAATTCTCGTTCTTTTTTTCTATTTTTAATGAACTGCTGGTGTTTAGCTCACAGAAAAGAAAAAAAAATCCGGTCAACTCTTTTCTTGTTTCCCTTCGAAGCAGGGTTGGCTTTTATAACTCTCATTCAAAAAAAGGAGGCAGATTTTTAATTTTTTGGTAGGTTCAACTTGCGAGGAAATGCAAAGTCCTATTTTTATTTCTGGACTTTATCAAAGCTCTGTTTCTAAAATACTGTCTCTAAACGAAACTGTCAACAAACATTGTTTTATTTCAGCTTTCGTGAAGCCAACAAAAGAATCCTTTCAGTGATTAAAGCCAACTCCTCAGCTCTGCTCCGCGCCGCGCAGTTGTCTTTCTAGACTCTCTTGAGCTGAGGCGTGAATGCTCACGACAAAAGGCCGGCATCTACCGGGCGGTCCTGCCCGCTCCAACGACCCCGAAGATGATGACACCCGATACGGGGCCAGAAACATTCATGTCATCCCGGCCCCGCCACAGTCTCCACAGATGAATTAAGTGCAGTATATAGCCTACTCCATCCACCGAATTACACACCAAAAAACATGAAATTATCATACGAGACGAGCGGGGCCTGTATGGACAACCAGACACAACGGGAATAATTATTCAAATGTGCCCCGTCTGGTTTGACGAGGTGTCTGACAGGCTGTGAAATTAACCGCACTTTTTTTGAGTATGGAGTTGTATGATTGAGGGAACAGTGGGAACGGGGGGGGGGGGGACTGGGGTAGGGGGTCAGTCCAAGGTGACACATCTGTCAATTTTTAATCACACTTCGCTACTGAATTTGTCTGGAAGAGAAAGTCATTAAGATGCGCATATTTTGCATCAGCACTTGTTACGTATAGGCCTAAAGCAAAGATGTGAAAAGGTAAAACTGCGTCATTCAGCTGATGACTGGAACAAAGTTAATGGTGTCCCGATTTAGCACACGGTAAATATCCAACCTCGTGTCAAACCTTAGACCTACTAATGACTTGTAATTACATCATGAGAAATGTGACTTTACCATTGAACAAATTAAAGGAAACACAGTGTCCAATTTTTTTGGTCACTTGGGTATGGGCTGTGACAAAATGGGGAATATTTTTCGGGAAGAAAAGCTGGATACGACACTGTATAAAAATATACATCTAGTAAACAAAGTCTATTCATAAGCAATATTAATCTAGGTTAATGTACCATTACATGTTATTTATAGCAACTTGAACTTTATGCTCTCCACAGTTCAGCAAAAGTGCATGTTAAACATGTAACAGAAAGTGGACTTTGAATTCAATTTATCTTCTGAAATGATCATCTATAGACATGACAACACATACACAAACATGTTAGGCCTATTCATCAGAATAATTTCATTAAATTCATCGCTAGATTGTCTTTTGAATATTAACGTAGACATTCTCAGGTGTTTTTCGTTTAGGGTGTTACGATTAGCGGCCCTTGGAATGCTCGCAAAAACCAGAAGCTATTAATTAAAGTATAAGGGAGATCAAAGAGCGCCATCTACCGTCACCAAAACTCTTCGTCTCGTCCCCAAGGATCGAGCTAAACACAAAGCTGACAATATTTACTTTGTTCCAAGCACAATATCTCGTCCCAAAAGAACAACGGAGAGCCCACACCAAGCGTGCCACTAAGAATATCATTCCGTTCATTGTGTACTCGAGTTTAATTTTGTGTTAACTTGGTTGTCACACGCAATTTTGTTGCCAAATGGAAGTGACAGAAAATGCTTGGTAAACGTCGCGGGAAGTCTTTAAATTCTGATTAATTTCAACATTCCTGAAATGATTGATTCCATAGCATTGATTCAAATTAAATTGCAAACCTGCACAGCCAAGACACTGTATTAACTTTAATGCATGTCTGTTTTCAGATTCATGCTAGTTGATTTTGTCAAATGGTGAAGTCATCATTCATGAACAAAGATACCTCTCACACTCTATGCAGGATCAAGAACACATTTTGTTTGGGGGGGGGGGGGGCGGCCCAAAAACGTGTTCCCGAAAAAGTGGGTCCAAAAATTTCCCGCCCCACATTTAATATGAAAAGCAAGGGGAGGGGGGCATTGCTTTTGTTGAGTTTTGTGGGTGGTGTACGCAATCTGCCTTTTCAATTTTTTTTTTTGGGGGGGGGGGAGGGGCATGGCCCCCGCTGTCCCCCCCCCCCCACCCCAATGGAGCCGCCGTTGCTCACACTTGTTTGTCTTGGACATAATTATCTGAAAAAGAATAGGTTTTCGGTCATTGTGAACCTTTTTTAAAAATATTTCAGAGAGTTTCTGGCACGTCAATAATTCTAACAGACTAAAACAGAGTTTAGCAGAAAAGAAAAAGCCATTCAAATTATTTTTTTTTTCATAAATTTTTCAATTAAGTTAATTAGCCCAGTGACCTTTTTATTTGCCGGTCTGTAGCATAAATGAACAAAAATTTATTACTATGTTTATAACTCTCTTGAATTCTAAGGGACGAAGGTCTATTTTTTATGGTGGCGCCGTCATATTCATTTTTGTTTCCCACGCAATGAATTCCAAATGAGCTACTTCTCAAATTATTTTAAATAATTAGCTTCCGGCAATTGTTATTTATAGATTTTTTTTTTAAATAAAGCGTGGGTACAAATATAATTCCATTTTCAGTTATTTTTGACGGTATCAACTTAATTTTCTCACCCCCACTGTCGGTAAAAATGTACACTTTTGCTGGTAGAGCGAGGAAGATCTAGGCTTTTTTGTTTATCGGTAAACGCGTAGCTGCTCATTGATATGGAACCAAACGGCCAGCTGAATTTATGCAGAAATTAATTGCTTGCACCGGCCGGCTTTGTAATATACTGTTTTCTGTGACCTTAAAAGACAAAGCTATTGAATGATAAACTGTATGTTCTTCACTTGGAAGAATTAGTTCTCAGCCACGCGCAAATATTGGGGTCGTGTCAGGGACAATATAGTCCGGGCGAGATTTTGAGAAAGGTGCTCGCTTAACTGGAAGAGGATTTTTTGAGTAGAAGCTGGTAACATGATCTAACTTCGCTAATTTGATGGTGCTGATTCCAAAAATCGATGTTACCAAGCATAATTTGTAGTCCTTGACGTACAAAATCTGATCTAGAAATTCACAGATGAAAAGAGCAAATGACGCACTATAAGTTTGTCAAAAAAAATCGGACAACACCTTAAGCATTAATTTTGTATACAAAAGATAGCAGACACCAGACTAGCCGGGTACTTACATTGTACTGTGCGTGAAGCAAGTCTTACACCAGGTACCAGACCACGTGTTGATCGCGGATTGACGTGAACAGTGAAAAACAGTTGTGTGCCTTCTAATCGACAAAAAATCAACAATATTTTGTATTTTTGGGCCACTCACAGCCGGGGGGCGGATCCGCCCCCTCAGATCTTGGCCGAACAGTGACGGATTTTAACGAAATTAATTATGTAAATGAGAGTAGCATTCATAAATACCAGTGCCAAATTTCATTCCAATTAATCAAAGGGTTTCGTAGTTAAGATATATACATGCCACACCATGTTCTGTGGATGCATAAATTCTATATGTACAGCGTGTGTCAATAAAAACGCAGGATTCAAAGCGATTTTTTTTTCTGAGAAAATTATGCTACTGGTGTGCCTAATTTGATAAGGATTTGATTGTCCATAATTTCATCTTTGACAAGAGTTTTGTTTGGTGGAATTTGGACTTTTGGTTCAAAAGTTATGACAAGTTTTGTGAAGCCCTTCTGAAGCGGGTTGGTCTGATTCAATGACCTTAACACAACGACCAGTTATGTACAATGCAGGTATGCATTGAAGACAATTAAACCAGAACAAAACTTTCTTTGAAACAACTGATGATAAGTATCACTTAAATTTAATAACTGGACTATCATTGTTTCAAAGCATCATGAATGTCGTCTCTGACATATCAAATAACATTGATTGTGGACCAAAGGATTATGTAAGCCTAATCCTGCCACACCTGTCCTTCTTTGTGATCCACAAATACTTTCACCTGTACTGAATTCAAACCGTTCATTAGGTATGTGTGATTTCACAAATCAGACCAGCTTGGAATTTATAACCCTTCTTCAATGTACTCTATCTCTGGACAGGATTGTCCAAATGAGATGGGATAAAAAGCATAGTGAAGAGAAGGAAAGGTACTTTGAAAAGAGGGTTAACATTATGATGAATAGGGGTGGTTTATATTCTTAATATTTTTGTTTCTAATCCTGCGTTTTTATTGACACACGCTGTACAAGGTCATTGAAGCGATCACAGCAGTATACACCGACGGTCGGAACAATTTGCCTGTGAGGGAGAAATAGAGATAGAGAGTTCATCGCAGCTCAGAAATGTCTGCGATATGCTGATCGTGACAGTGTTCTCCGAGCATCTCCGAAGTCTCTCAAAGATGAATTGTACCGGTGGAGTAGGGTGTTCATCACGGATGATGTCTCGGAGAAGGTCCGGGCCGAAAGGAAGAAACTGATATCGATTAGGAACCAGATGAGTAAGGAGGGAAACTTTGCGGTGGTTCCTTGGACATTGCCAGCATGTCTTCTTGTCAAGCAAGCGGATGGAAATCTTAAGTCCTTCACAGTCAACACCACTGGAAAGTATGTAAAAGTTTGTGTGGGCGGAGTACCTGTAAGAATGTGGGATAGCTACTAACCGAGAACTCTGAATTATCTTCGAAATTAAATCTCATTTCCAGTAGTAGTATCACTATTCGTGAGTGCACATTAAACGGGTACGTACGTACACGTACGTACACGGTACAGGGACCACCAGTCCCCGGTTTGACCGGACAAAAACCCTCATAAATTTAACATAAACTATCGACTGGTGACGTCACACGAAAAGGGTCTACATTCGCGTATTGACTGCATAAGCTAGATGCCCTAATTTTCATATTTGTACGCGCATGAAGTGAAATAGATTGAAACGTTATTCACAAATTAACCTAGGCCAGCAAACGTTTATGCAACGTCGGGCGAAAGAGAATGAACAATTAACGATTGAACAAATTCCAAAATTATCAAGAAATTAACATGCATTATATTTTAAGGTTTGGGGGAACATTTACTATGCCTGAGGCTGGACAAGCTACATGATTTTAAATGTTGCTTTGGCTTTCAAATGCATGGTTTTCATTCACTATTTTGGAAAGAGACCCTTGTCTTCCAAGATTTTCCTCCTTGACACTTCCACTATCACTACCAGCAGTGTTGTCCTCATCCTGTCCACGAGGGCGCTGTTTGTCTCCCTTGACTCTGAATTCCAGCACGCCGTACAGTGCCATGACGGTCACTAACACCACTATGGTGACGGTGATCACGTGGACAGCACAGATGGCTTGTGGGACACCAATGAAGGAGATGGCTGCGAAACCAAGGGACTGCCAGAAGCAGAGATTACCAAAGGCAGCCTCTTTCTGGTCTGGAAATAGAAGTCCCAACAGTGCTGGTTTTGAAAGAAAAGAAATATTAAAACTTGTTTGTATTAAAAAGAAAAACAATGTATTTAGTCAATTCAAATACACAAGGAAACTCGTTATAAATATTATGACTGAGAACATTAGTGGCAAATGTTTCCCAAAAAGCAACCTTTTAAAGAGGACACCACGGGATCTGTGCACGTAAAATAAATTAAATACAAAAATTGTATACAGGGCGACCTTTAACAATAGAGGACAATAGGGTCCACGGTTGAGCCAAGGTCCACAGTTGAAAATCGTGTACAAAACAATGAGGGTTATTCCCAAAAAGTTACGGTATGAACAAAAGAAGAACAATAGGAGGTCCCCGATTGCAGGTAAATACACACTTGTGGGTGTATGTGTGTGTTCACCCACACTGATTACTAGTCGACATCACCCAATCCTACCCACTGGTATAGTTACTGGTTTTGCGTAAACACCCCATGCTCAGTAATATTAGACTGATCAGGGTGAGTAACCTGTCATTCTTAAAAGGTTTAAAAAAAACTGAGACCGTTTCGCTGCCAAGATTTGGATACAAACGTTTCGTGAGGAACCCTACATCCAGAAACTTCACAACCCAGGATAATCCGATGCAACTCACTGGAAATCACAGTCGGAATTGCCGCCCGGGTGAAACCCAGGCCGGACGCCATGACGCACAGGTGCCACAGTTTGCCGCTCTCTGGAGCCCACACAAGCATCACGATCAGCAGCGCGAGATAAACAGCGCAACCCGCGAAGAAGACCGGTGCTCTGCCTGTGTATTTGATCAGTCGACCCATCACGGGAGAGCCGAGAGCACCGATGATGTACAGGGGCACAGCGATGAAGCCCACGGCCTCAATACCTTGCGTACAACCCACGAAAAACTGCAAAAAGTGACGAAAAGAAATAAATACAAATCTGTGTTTTTTTGGTGTTTTTTTTTCAAGTTTGGAAATAAAGTAGCCAAGGTGCCTTTTGTCGTACTTGTATCATGTCATTCTGGTAAAGAATAATGTCATACCATTATAAAGAGCTGACATCATACTCTGGAGACTTGATGCGCTGGATAAAACACCCAGGGCCGATTTCACAAAGCTTTGCGATCGTTCGTAACTCAACTTGCGATGGATAACCCAGCGTAAGTTACGATGCATCTTAAAATCGATTTCTCAAAACGAGTTGAACGCATATAGTTACCTTGACAACGGCGTAAAACACGTCGTAAGTTAAGACGGCCTGTGGGTCGTCGTAAGTTACTAAGTGTATTTTCCAAGCCAGTTTTATGGCATGTCAAGTGAAAAAACAAGACCAACATTTGAATTTGATCATATAATCTGCTTTGACAATCAGTTAGCATGTTGTGATTCCCACAGACATTTGTGCGGTTCTTTCGACAGACAATCAAACTGATCGTGAGACAAACGGAGAGACTGACAAATTTCAGTTCAGTTCAGTTCAGTTCGTTTATTTCCACAGTGTTCACAAATAAATATATGTACATGTACATCAACAAATATTGTTTAATAGGGGCGTGAAGACTGAAGAAGAGCGAAGACTGAAATTCACAACCATTATTAGACTTACTTTTGTAAAATGGGCAGATACGAAAGCCATGTCAGCACCGAGAAAGAACAGGCCTGGAATCAACAATAGCATCCGGGGCCGTCTCATCAGACGGAAAGCAGACATCATGCTGTAGAAGACCTCCTTGGTTGTCAAGGTAACCACGGTGACCTCCTCGTTAATGACGGGAGCTGCTTTGGGAGGAACTCGCTCCAGGAAGGCTACGGCAATGACCAATGAAAACACCCCTAAACCGAGATAGATAGAGACCAGCAAATTGCGACTTGCCTGATCTGGAGGCACAAGGGCACCGGTGGTGTTGGCGGTGGTGTCGCCTCCTATAAAGCATATAAACAACATAGCATCAATAGGTGTCTCATGGGGACGACATCTATACTCCGTATATCAACATCCAGTCAAATTTGCAATCTTTTTCCTTCATTATTTCGTATTCAAGATGTCAAATTATCTCAATCTTGAGTGAAGTGACGACATGCATGTTGGCATTTTACTCGTGGAATGTCGTCTTCTGCGCACAAAAAAGTATACAATTTATAAGCAACTGATGCAATAATTCTGAGAATACAGTTCAGAAGATGGAATTAATGTGGGAGTCCCGATATGATAGGACACCGCCGTTGCGCATGGTGGGTTTGTCGTGAGAGCTTTTTCTCTATGACACCGCTATTGCGCGCGGAGGGACTTTCCCTCAATGAGAAATTATTTGGATATGTCAGGAACTCGGGAGTGAAAACCATGCATCCTGAAATGGGACAGAAAAAAATTGTACAATTTTTGGCGATTAAAGTTCCAGGAATGCAGAAGGTAAAGTCACCACTCCATGTACATGCAGGAGCCATCAATGAGTATTTATCCTTGACTGACCCTGGGGTTTTGTTTTTGGGGTTTCTATTTGACCTAGCATCGTAATAAATAAATGAGAAGTGACTGATTGGTGTCAGACTCCGGCATCATCCATGTTTGAGTTTATGGACGGACCCCAACCCTAGAATAACAGTAGGGCAGACCACCACATTAGCCCCCTCCAAAAATTGAACAAAATGTTTCAGATTTCCAAAGAAAATACTATGACATCACAACACGTATATTTTAAATTGATTAATGAACTGACCTATGTGGCGGGCGCCGAATAATTATGTGGTGGCCTCAAGATAAAAAACAACATTTACCCCTACGCCAATCTCCGTAGCAACATATCCGTAGCAACATATTGTTTTGCAATTATGCTTGTTGTCTGAGGGGTGTATTTCCTGCTCGATTATTGTATGTTAATCTTATAAACTGAACAGTCTCTTCGCAGGAAGGATGGTCTCATAACAAACAGGAATTTCTCTACAATGAGCTGCAATTTATTTTGCACAAACCAAGCTATAGATGCAACAGAAGTTGCCACACACCTAACGTGCCTGAAGCACCCCACGCGCACGTGCACGATGTGCGCACACTTTTTATAGTGTAGCGAAAAATGGTTAATTAAGACATTGGGGGAATTGTTATTTCTCTTTTTTTTTCATCGAATATTAAATGATGAACATAACATCTCACAGGAGCATTTTGCACTTGCGGTAACACCGGAAGTAAAGGTCAAACTGACGGTTTTGCGTCCGGGAACACGAAATGTTTCTCACAGTATAGTCTACAACCTCACGAAAAAAATGAACACAATACTCTATTTAGTTCAAAAGATAAAACGCACACTATTTTGTCAAAATTTGCCCTTAAATCGCTTGTAATTTGATACCTGATGACGTTGTGATGACGTAACACAATTTACAACATCTTCGTAATATGGTACAAGTTTTGTGATCATACCGTGAACCGTTCGGAAGAAATATTGCTTTGTTTTGATTTCAGGCTGACGTCTTCATTTTTAATTCACCTAACTTTGACCTTCCGGTACACCCGGAAGTAAAGGTCAAGTGAGTTTACGTACACAACAAAAAATGTTTAGCGATTAATGGTCTGTCTGCTCACAGAATACAAACATCATTGAATGTTTAGTTCAAGAGTTACAAGTGAAAGTAATGGGTCACTTTTTCAGATAAAATCACTTGTAATTTGACACTTGATGACGTAATCATGACGTCAGAGTATACCATATACCGTTTAGGAGAAAACCCGCGGAAACGTATTGTCCGGAAAAAAAAAAAGTAAGAAAGAAGATTAATCGTAACAGATCTAAAGTGTGGTCGGGTGGTGCCCGACCACTCAATTATATATATTTTTTTTTTATCGAACGACTTTGGAAGTGTGAAACTCGGTCAAGTCAAACGCATGGGTAAAACTCATAACTGGACGAAGTCTTCCACATCAATGTGCTCCTAAACATTCCAACATATGTTTCTCATGCACCAATTGAAACATTATAATTACTAGAGGTTGGCGTTTGTTGTTACAAACGCAGAGTGGTCGGGCAGGCAATTTGTTCCGTGAAACACTGCCGAGTTAAGTTATGAAAATGTTCATTTAACAACAACGGATCACGAAATTAAATCCTTTCCTTCACAATATATTATTTTGTTGAAAAATACATCTTTAACGGTGTGCTAAATTTCCGTATACATTTTATGTACACATACCAGTTATTTCCGGCTTGATGGCGACATTAATAAAAAAAAAGGGAAGTGAATACTGATTTAGTTCGGAGTGAATAAATGTTTATTGTGAAGTTAAATAACGTATGCAAATATGGGAAAATATAACTGTATGTATTTTATAACACCTAACTTCCGGTTTCATGACGTCACTGGTATTTGGAAGCAAAAGGTTAACATTAATTGTTATGGTATCATTATTTGGGCTACGAAGATATACGACATGGATCAAATGATGGAATTCAATTTAAAGTATGATCATTTTCAAATTCTCATCGACTTAACTTCCGATCTGATGACGTCATGAATTTGAAACCTTGCTAAGTTATCTGTGGTTAATCAAAGAAAATCAAGGGGCGATTTGGTAAAATTGGAACCGATGTTCTTCAGATGACAGAAAACAAACACAATTTTATGTGCAGCTAGGGGGTGCCCTTTCGGATTATGACGTCATCCCAAGTCCCATTGGTCCGAAACATAATACTGTGCAGTTCCTCTTGTTCAGGTTGACTGACCCTAACCCGAACCCTAACCCTTACCCTAATCCTATGGGGCGTCGGACCAATGGGACTCCGGACCAATGGGACTCCGGACCAATGGGACTTCGGACCAATGGGACTTCGGACCAATGGGACTTCGGACCAATGGAACTTCGGACCAATGGGACTTCGGACCAATGGGACGTTTATACAAATGGAACGTATCGGACCAATGGAACTTCGGACCAATGGGGCGTCGGACCAATGGTACTTCGGACCAAATAGACTTCGGACCTATACTTCGGACCAATGGGGCGTTTATACAAATGGAACGTATAGAGCAATGGGCTGTCGGACCAATGGAACTTCGGACCAATGGGACTTCGGACCAATGGAACTTCGGACCAATGGAACTTCGGACCAATGGGACGTCAGACCAATGGAACTTCGGACCAATGGGACTTCGGACCAATGGGACTTCGGACTATAGAGACGTCCCCAAAGTCTCGTCCTATATGCATATATGAATACAAATGAAGTGCAGTCGAGTCATGAATTTGACTTTTAAAGCAAACTGGCGGGGGGGGGGGGACGACTTACCGCATGCATGTTTCCCACAAGAGGCAAGGTTGGCAGTTTGGTTACTTTCCAAGAACTGCCAACCCTTCTGAAAAACCAGGGAGGATATTATGTTGCTGGATAGTGTGCTCATTCGAGACACGCCGTAGAAGATGCTGTTCAATAGGGCTGTGTCGGCTGCTGGATTTCTTTGATTAGCTGCTGCCAGCTCCATTGCTACAGTCGTGATGTACGTCCCCCTCGAAACCCACATGAACGCAGCGCCGATGCCTGGAAACACGGCGGCAGAGAGAAGCAGGTATGCATTCTCGTAGTAGTTGCTAGCTATGTACAAGATATGCAGAAAAATCCCTAAAACCACGCTCCATTTTGTCCCCAGCTTTAGGCGGATGACTGCCGGGACCAGCAAACCCGCCACAGCACTGAAAGCATTTAGCAGGGACAAGCTGGCGAGACCCATACCCTCCGCGTTGTTGAGGGTGCTCTGGAGATCGCGCAGACCGCGGAATGCTGTGTAGCACGAGAAGTAACACAGGGCGAGGATCCAAAACCGCTTCCATTGGAGCCTGCTGGTAACTCTCCTCAGAGAAACCTCGTCATTTTCGTTTCCCATCGTTACTACGTCTGCAAGTACGCGGTCCCAGACTGATTCTCAACCTTGAGCAGATGCCCGTGAATTTGTCAAGTAGTCGTGTCAATCGCAGATGTTATGAACAAATAGAAAAAGTTGTTATCGTCGCCGATAAGTTTTCTTCACCACCGCTCAGTTCTGTATAATTTGCATTGAATGTCAGGTCACATGTTTCTTTATTCTCTTATATATTATTATTCATCGACTAGCTTACGTAGAATTTTAAGGTCATAGGGCGTTTGTCAGCCAATAGTATGTGTCAGAATTCATCACGTGAACTCGCTCTGAAAACCTCTGAAAACCCAGAAAACCTCTGTGTACCCAGAAAACCTCTGTGAAACTGCATAGATATTTGATACCCATCCATTGTGTGTAGCGACGGGTGTTGGCCCCACATACGATTTAGGAGTTATATTTTAATCGAATCGTTTATAACTGTAAACTTCATGAAGATACTGTATCTGGAACTGTATGAACACTGTGCTCGAACTGATTGTAAACATATTGTATAATTGTCCCTGTGTTTAAACATTGTACTTTGTGACCTTTGGTGTGTACTTTGTTTCCTTATTGTTTCTATGTAATTTAATGTATTCATCTGTAATTTAGATTTCAGTTTCACCTGTCTATTTTACGGGCTGAGTAATAAAAACAAAGGGGAAAACATGTTTGCATTCCGATGTGGAAACATTGTTTACTGCATGAGTCCATGGTATCAGATCGGCGAATTCCCGATTCTGTCACCGGGGCAGCCAGAGCATAGGGTTACCTTTCTTCATTTTCATCAATTGTGTCTATAGTCTCGGATTTCAGTAACCTCTTACCTGTGAATTCGTTAAATTTATTATCGGAGGGAATTTTTTTGAATGGAATTGATTTATCGCTCCATTATGAATAATTTGGGGAGTTGGTTTGCACTGATTCTGCAGCTTTGACCGTAGCACAGAGATGCGGAGAAGTGCGAACAGGGTGAGTCAAAAACGTATACCGAAGTTGAATCCCAAATAAATTATATCCCATATGAATCAAACTGATATCACAAGATCAGTATCAGTAGCCTAAGCTTAAGATCTCTCTTTATATAGTGGAGCTGCTAAGCAAAAAATCGTGGACTTTGTGGTAAAAACATGAAATTTGGCATGTGGGGTCAAAATGGGCTTAAAATCATTTCAAGATCGGGACCCATCCTGGATCTTGCCCATTTTGGGGGCGGAGCTTGATTTTTTTTTTTTTAAATGGGGTGCAAACAATACAACCTCATGAAAACTGTATTTAACATCAAATTTCCTTGTTTTTTACGCTTTGAAATAAACTTCAACATGAAATAAGACATTCTAGCTTTTTAACACCTGTTATTTTCCACCCATTTTGTGGGCGTGGTCCACATGTGTAAAAGAGGCGGTATATATTAGCAATTTGGTTCTAATATGGGAAACAACGTTCAGTTTGGTGATAAAATCCTGAAAATTGGCATGTTCAGTTAAAATGGGCTGAAAATAATTTTAAGTGGTGAACGCATCTTGGATCTTGCCCATTTGGGGGCGGAGCTTGATTTTTCAAAAAGGGGAGTGCAAAAAATAAAAACTCAGAAAACTGTATTTACATCCACTTTGTTTCTCATGCTTTGAAATAAACTTAGACATGAAAAATAATATTCTAACATTTCTAACACATGTTATTTTTACCCTTTTGCGGGCGTGCATATGTAAATATGCGGTATATCCCTTTTGTGGGCGTGGCCTAATTTAATTTGGCCTAAATATGTAAAGGAGGTGGTATATTAGAGCAGCTTGATTCAAACGAGGGAAAATCATCATTTTTGCTGGTAAAAACACAACTTCTCCATCGGTTAATCATGTTTACCATGCACTGTAAAGATAAGTTTAAACGGTTGCAAGACTAATTGTTGCCCTTTTAGGAGTGGAGCTACATTTTAAAGTAGGCGGCTTTAAATATTTCATATCTAAATTGGTATGATTGTCTACAAGTAACTTACACAAGGTGAGTCGAAACAAGGAAACCCAAATGGCAGGACCATTGTTTTAGTGAAGTTCTGCATGTAGCACTATCAAAATCTAGATATGAAAGTCCAATTCATAAGCTTTGGTTTTAGTACAAGAATCATTCAAATCACTTATGTACTTTTCAAGTTACGGAATTTTAAACACAAACACCGTTTTGAAGTTCTGTCAGCAAAACGAAAACAATTCACATATAGGGGGATGCGCTGGAATTGGTTTCGTTCTGCTGAAAGAACGCACACCTCTTTGTGATACGTGGACAGAACTTTAAAACAGTGGTTGTGTTTAAAATCAATTGGGCTTTCATATCCTAGATTTTGAAAGTGCTACATGCAGAACTTTATTAGGAAAATGGTCCCGCCATTTGGGTTTCCCTTTTTTTTTATACTCTTCCTGTATACTTACAATGGCGGACTTTCCTAATCGTTCATGTCTTATAAACACTTTGGGGATCACAATCATGACAAGGGGAGGGAGGGGGTTAAGGGGCGGCCCAATGGTGGATTTCTTGAAAGTGCCTTTCTAATATGTTTAATATATATATATAGGCATACAACATGTACAAACATGAAAATGTGCACAGAATATGCTATGCCACTCCAGTCCATTCATTGCAGTGTGTACTGGATGTTGGGACTTGGAGGAGTAATGTCTTAATGACTGAAAGCATAGAGCAAGGACAACAGAAGGGAGGGAATAATGTTGGGTTTTTGAGAAATTATGTAACTTCTTAAATAATGCGTTAGCACTTGGATATGTCATTGGGAGAAATTATCAAACTCTCGCGACCAAAAGGCTGAATTGCGGTTCAATGTACATGTAAATAAATAAAAAAAGTTTAAATCATATTTCAATAGGGGGCGCTGTTCAAATTCGACGATTATTAACACTAGATTACAGAATGGTGTACCGTATTTTGAACAGGCAGACATACTAATAATAATAATAATAATCGGCATTTAAGAACGCTCTTTTTAGTACACTTAATCACAGCGCTTACAGTATTATTATTATCCCTGATCATTGGGCCAATTCAACATTCCAAATACCATCTCAGCTCCCTGGGGAGTATACAGCTCGATGGTGCCTGTTAGGCGCAAGCAAGCTAAATCAATCACATAACCATCTCTGCCCTCACAGGTACCCATTTACCCCTGGGTGGAGAGAAGCAATGAGTGACAAAGTGCCTTGCTCAAGGGCACACGCACCATGACCCCGCCAGGACTCGAACCCACAACCTGCAGCTTTACCCACATACCACGAATCAGTGCCCTTAACCACGAGGCCACAGCACTCCACTAGTATAATTTTTTTTTCTGGGTGTCACAGCAGGGGGGGGGGGGGGGGGGGGGGGGGGGGGGTTCGACTTCTTTTTAGGAATTTAGTTTGTACGATTTTTTTCTTTTTTGACAGAGCTGGGGGGGGGGGGTGTTTGACCCCCCCCCCCCCCGGATCCGCGCCTGTCAATATCGGTATGCCTTTGTTTGTACTCACCCTGTATAATACCAAGGATAGAACCACTCGGGTTTACACCGCCGATAAACATGATGGTCTCAGTCATGATAATGTGAACATTGAAGTTCATAATTTTGTCAACGCTTGGCGTGTGAAAAAAATGTTCTAATATTATCCTGATGCTTATTATTCACTTATGCAGCCATGCGGGCGCTGCTTCCCCGTAAAACCGCGGCCAGACTATATAGGCTCAGTTCTCAGAAACAGTTTGTCCGGCGTTCGCGGCTGCTCAATTCCCACGCGTTGTCCGGACAAGCCGCAGAAATAGATTAAAAATTTACCATGAAAAATATCAGTTTCGAAATCTACAGTCAGCTTGGCAAATATATCCCCATCATATGTGCTTTTTCTCAAAGTGACCGCTTCGTGTATCTGGCTTAGTACCGATTTAGTATTAGCATTTCACACCGGCGGCTCATTAATGGAGTTAATTGGGAAAGCCAGCGACTTGGATTAGTCGATATGGATATGGTGGGAATAAATAGGGAGACAATCGACGGTCAGTGTTTGTCTTGGTCTGGCGACAAATAGACACAGTCTAAAGTGCACTCTCTCTCTCTGTGTTTCAACGATCGGAGGGATTGATAATTCTTCCCAAATAAACAATTTTCAAACCTTTTTGTTGACTTTTTGGATAATTATTAGTTACCACTATCAACACTTTGATAACGTATAAGACAATTAAGCAAACTTACAAATATTTTAAAACCAACTTACGAAATACACACATCCAATGGCGTAACCGTGGGTCCCATTTGGGGGGGGGGGCATTTTTAGGGGCCCTCCGTTTTCTGGAGGGGGAATTAAATGGGTTTTCAACAATAAAACTAATTTTTGCCTTCCCTGGATCACATTTTTAGCTGGTGAGGTATCGGGGGTTGGGGGGGGGGGGGGGGACAGGCCTCAAGCGTGGGCCCGTACTCCCTCCATGCCCCCACCTCCCCCCCCCCCCCCCAAGTTAAACCACTGCACACATCCAAACATCTTTGTTGTACACTTTTGCCGGTTTGTTTTAATTTAGTCATTCACCGAGTCCCAAAGGCCCGACCTTTGCTTGCACTTCTCACCAAAATAATTCGACACCCAAATTCACTTAGCGATCGGTGTTTAAAAATGATCCAGTTAACCCAGTTCTCTCCCTTTTTTTGCAGCGACTAACGCCGTATTAATTACCGACTCCACACAATGAAAAATGGGAGGAACAAACAGGATTTTGGTGGTCCAACACGGAGAGGAATTTGCTTTTAATAGGTCCGATTTCAGCCGGTAATGTGGCGGGGAGTCCGGTGGGGATTTCCAACGCGATGCTGGGGCACGCGCTACGGGCGAGCACCCGGTCATCGACGGTCGCCCTTCAGCGGTACAGAATGAATCTTCAACGCCGTGTTGAAGTCGAAGGGGCCACGGGGGAAGAAGGGAGAAAACAACTTAAGCTCATTTAAAAATTGAGGGGAAAAAACCGATCTTGTAAATAATTGTCCAGT